CTCCCAATCCGGAGCTTATCCCGGTTTCCAAAGCATAAATCCCTGGATGGCATGCTTGTCCATCGCCAGGTAACCACCCAGCTTTTCATCAGGCTTCCCTGACCACTGGCCGGTACCTGGGTGGAGAGAAGCACTGTGAGAGTGAAGTATTTGGCCAAAGAACACAACACAGTGACCTGGCCAGGTGTGAAGAAACAGAACTGAACCTTAAGAATCTCAGAATTGAACCTTGCCAACAGTTGTATAATTTTTAATTAGAACCTGGCATAAAACCGAATACTGTTTATCCTATCAAAGGGCATGTTTATTGACCCACGCTTAGCTTTCACATACCAGAATTGAGTTTAAGCCTTTGAGAGAGGTTGTTGTTCACGAGTAAGGATAGTTTTTTTTGATGAGATAGAGCCTTGGAATCAAGTAAAATCTAATTCTAGGAGGATACAGCCAATAAAAACCTTAACACCAGGTCTTGAGATCAGCTGCTTGACCCTGAGTCCAGAGCACTAACCGTGAGGCTACCTCATCTCCCACCCTTTTGCGTGATTACAGCCAATTCTTTGAATGCGATTCACACACTTGCAGAATGCTATCAAATCTCCAGAAGTGTTGCTAAAAAAATTAGTAGTTGTTTTACAGTGGAGTTCTCAACTTCAGTTGTTTGATTTTCTTACCTTGTTTCGCTTGATTTAACAAGCTTTTGGATTTTTTTGAAGCCATCACTTTCATGGTTAAGGCATTCAATATAGGACTTGAGTGCCCTGTACTTGGAATGTACATCTTGTCTGGTTTTCCAGTTTGTAGACTCACCAATGCTCACCATGTCTTTAATAAGCTGTCAACAAATAATGATAATTTAAGATACAATCAGAAGAAATGGGTAACCCTTGTAAGCTTTACTGTACCTACCCAAACTGTAATCTTAAAATTGTCACCAGTATTTCAGAACTGGCGAATCAAATAACTTCCTTTTAAATACAATGAAATTTACCAGTAAGCCATTTGAAAGGATGTTCATGATCAACAGTATAACTGACACCAGCAATTTAACTCTTCAACTCCCAGAAGTTACTAACATATAACATCTCCCTTTAATTCCATATAATATCCAGCAAACAGGTAATAAAAATACTTAAAACTTTTCAGGTAGATGTTGTAATCACAAATTCTCCTAACTAATTTACAAGAACATGTGTAGCAAATAGAGGGGAGAATTAACAATCAGATCTCAGGAATTTAAGGGTTAAACAACTATTCCCACCCACATGATAAAAAACACTCATGAATCAACCTTTTCTAATATCTGAGATGTTCCTTACTTGACACAAGTCTTGTTTTTGAGCAATGAGGCGCTTTGAACTTATGTTTTCTCCTCTGTTCTTGTGAGGAATAGCTGAGAAAAACTCATCAGATAGCTGGTGAATAATGCTGACCCCTTCACCATCATCTATTGATTTTCTCAATAAAAGTAAGATTGCTTCAGCTTTCTCTACATCCTCAAGTTTGATGGAACTGAGAGGAGTGGCCAGAATATCTGCCAGACTGCCTACTGCCTCATTCCAAATGTAATTGATAAGGTTTGCAACTTCAGGGGAGATTGAAGAATCTTCCTGTGAAGATGATTCCTCATTCAACAACTGAAAATAGACAAGAGACATATATCAATAGACAACAAAAATATATTTTTCCTGGGGAAATAAGTTTGAGATATGTTGTATCTTGTTCTACAAAATACGATTTGAGTGTCCTCTTTTATGCCATAAATTTGTCTTACAGAGCAATATTCAATCTTGTTGTCCTATCAGTGGGTAAGAGTAGTCCCAAGGAGGACTATTGTTGGAAAGAAAATCACTGAAATTTCAAAAACCTTGATGTAAGTAACTCTTGGAGTCCTTGTCAGAGTCAACTTTGATGACGACTTCCACAAAGGTTGCCAAAGTGTCAATCACTTCTACCAAAAACAATCCCTCTCAGGACTAATGAATAAAGGGGGTAAGTTTCTAGAGAAACAGTGGTACTGTGTCTGTGAGAGGGTATTACAGGGTAATTTAGTGTTATCAATTAAGTTGATAACGTGAATTGGCCACCATAAAGAGTTCAAAGGCTGACGTTTTGAGCATTAGCCTTTTGTCAGAGCGATTGGGACTCAGGACTACTCAAACTAGGACAATCAGACCACACTATCAAATATCCTTTTTCTGTGAGGATAACTTCCAAACAGATTGTCAAAGCCTCTGTCACCTTCCCTTAAAATAGTCCCCTCCAGGACTACTCTCACTCTAGATCAAGGAATTTCTCATTTTCTTCTATTTTACTCAGACAAAAATTACCATTTTTTGTTAAATACATAAGTTAATACCCACCTGTTTCAGTCTGTCAGAGCCAATATTGGGTGATGGATACTTTGATAATTTCTTGTAACCGTCTGCAAATTGCTGATCTATTATAGCAATGAATGCTCCAAATGCCTCCTCAGAAGAGCTGAAATATCTGCACTCCTTTGTCCCTTCATTATGTCCCTGCAAGAATAAAATGTAAAGGTTACCGGTAACCTAAAAGAAATCACACTTAAAGCAAAAATATGTTTTGCTAAGGTGTGATGTATCCATACAGTAAATGCATATTGTTAAGTCTTGTGCATCTTATGTAATGGGGCTCCAGGTACATTTTTTCATATTCACCTTTTAATGAGGGATAAAATTTTTGTTGCTTCAAAAGAAAAAGCCAAATTCTGCAATATTACTTATTATATACATGTCTACAGCCAGGTTGCCTTGAGGTTAATCCAACTATTCTGATTAGTTCTTACTTAGCTGGGATTTTGCCATACAGATGGTTTCCACAGAAGTGATTATCAGAAGTGTTTACAAAGAGGTGGTAAATTCAAACCAGACAAGTTTAATCCAAGTGCCATGAAGATGTATGAAATTACTTACTAACCTTGCTTGCTTGAGCTGCACTGGGTAATATTGGCCTGCAGTCCATACCGCCATGATCTTAGGCCAATATTCCTCAGTACTGCCCTTGCACTTAGTTACTAAAAGGTCAATATTCAAAACTGCTGATCACATTGCTTTTCTTTGGAGTTACAACCCAAGGCTAAATACTCGAGCAGAGTTTGCTGTTGTTAATTTCATTTCTGTGAGTGGACTGAGTAACAATGCAAGAGATACACAGTATTGTTTTTCCACATCTTGCTGAAGAAATTACAACAGCAAGGCTGATGGCACTAATTTTGTCAACGACCAAATTTGAAACATTTGTATCTACATATAATTTGTGGTTCAATTGCTACCTACGTAGGTTTAAATTTTTTAAACTAGTTTGAAGCATATTTTCCTTCTTAAAATCATTATCATAATCTGGCACAAAAGGAGATAAAACTCAAACTGATTTTAACTGTCTAACAACACTCCAAAATTTGATCTTACCATGATGAATGCCATCAAGGTACCTTGGTGCGTAAATAAGCGGTATCTTGAGCTGGTGCAAGGTACATGTGAAGGAATGAAGTGCAACTCCAGAGAGTAAAGAAGAAGAGGACCATCACCAGGATTTGTTTTCTGAAAGAAGCAATGCTATATCTAGAGCATCAATTACGCTTATTATCAATGATTACCTAATAACTAAAGGTCTTCATTGTTACTTTAAAAAATTCATGTTTAACATAATTTTTACCCAAACTTCAAATCTTGTAAGCCTATGTGGGGATTCTCCAAATCATGCAAATCTTTAAAAGTTCTCGCATGTCTGAAATTGTAACAACCAGAGTTCCAGAGCTAAAGTAGGGCTTCAAGGTCATTTTCTTTACAAAAAGCCACCTTTTGGCAACCTTCAATAGTAAAATGGTTGTCAGGAAAAAAATTCTGGTTGCCTCCCCCCCCCCCCCCCCCCCCAAAAAAAAATAACCTCCATATGAGTGGGAAGACATTTCATGTCCACTACATTAACAACCAGTAGGACATGGTACATGTTTATTTGCAACACTTTCATTTGCCAAATTTGTATGGTCAACCTCTTGCCAAGTTATAATTTTTGTATGTTATAGAAAGAAAAGAAACAAGTTACAAAAATAAACATCTTGAATAACAGAAACTGACTTAAAATGGCCCATTTACGGGAGAATACCACCTGATTGGTGTGTGTTTTGAGACAATTAACTGTCACATAATTTTTTATCAGTACTGTAATTAGATCTTGGAAGTTGAGTAGCCATAATAGCTTATCTATAATTTATCTTTTAAATTTGATCAAACCATTACCGCTAGTAGGGCATCTTTAACAATTTCACAGTTTGGCTCATCAAATTCTGGACCATCAACTGCTTTGTAAGGCCACACCCTATTAAAAGGAAAGGTTGAGACTGAAATGAAAGCATTACAGGATCATATTTTTCTTAGTTGGCTAGCTAACCAGCACCTTCCCAGCCTATGGGCACATCAAATTGAAGGTTTTCGCTGGTTTCCATAGCATGAAGCAATTCAGTAACATCACCAAGAGGTCAGTAAAGTCTGTCGACTCCCTGCTCTTGCTTAATGTATATGCTCTACTGCTAATAGCCTGGGATTAAGCCACCAGAACTGGACACACCCTAGAGTGAAACTGATTCAACCAACCCCAAGGCTGTGGTACGTACTTGTAAAAAAGTTTGATAGTCAGTATCAATGGACACTAATACTATTGTCCTTTCTTAAAGTGAAACCTCTAAAAAGAGATATCAGTTAGTATTGAGCCAAAAGTATGAATCAAAATGTAAGACAACATACCTCACTTCCATGGTCAACATTACCAATAACATATCTGATGTATTTCATTACACTTACTTTATTCTATTGAGATCTGGAAGCTTCTGTTTCTTTGTAGGTTTGGTCACATTATCTTCCCTTTGGTTCTTAGCTATCATAATAATAAATGTGGCATGCATACAATAAGCACAAATTTAGCACAGATAGAAACTGTAAAACTCCTTTTTAACCTCTGATGTTTCTGTTTCAAGGATGGAAAAAAATAGGAGACATTTACATGCAATGGGTAGGGTTGCTAATTAGAGAACTTCATATTTTAAATACAATGATCAATTTGACTCAAATGATTATGTTCTTCCAGCTGTTTTGTCAAAACCACATCAAAGGAAGTCAATTTTAAAGGGGAAAAACTGCATGCTTTTATCTGTATGCCTTTCATGAATTCAAATAACTTGCTTGGTATCTGATACCTTACTACTAACTTTTCAAGATTTAATAGTTTGGAGTTTAAGATGTGATTAAAAAAATCTAAAAGTAAGCCAAGCTGACAATCATAATGTGCCTCCATAACCCAGGTTTAGAATGAATGCCAGGTTTAGTAGTCTCAATTTAATTAACAATTTGTGATTACCAATTTACTCCTGGGTGATATGAAAGTGAAGTACTTTGCCCAAAACTGACAAAATAATCTTGCCAGGATCAAAATCAATGCATTATGGAATTAAGTCCAACCCCTACTATTTGATATTATAGTATTAGATCCTATCTGGAATCTTAAATGAACCAATAACAAAGGCCATTGGGCTGTTGAACTGTTAGATCTGACAAAGTCAATGTTCACACAAAATTGACAACCATGAATGCCAAAAAAGTTTGTCACAGCTTACCAACAATCTTGCCTGAACTAAAGTTCTGTGATTCAAGGGTTTCTGACAAAGGAAAAGGCTGTGGATCAACAAGTTTTCCAGACTTGATGCAGTCAGTAATGAAATCAAATGGAACCACTGGAATTCCAAGCTTCACTGCAGTTCTTCCCTTATACGATGACAAAGCTCGTTCAGAATCACCAGTCACCAGAAAGTTTGTCTACAAAAAATAAAATAGATATTTTGTTAATGGAGCTTGTAATACAGAAATATACAAGTTTCAACAAAACATAACTGTTGCCGCACAAGCATTTCCAAATAGGAGGTGTATTCTTATAGACTGCTAGATTCTCAAACAAAACAGTCTTATATTCCATCATAGAAGACAGGGATAAGTGAAGGTACATAAGTAGAGATTGAGAGCTTTATTCAAACTAACCCTTAAATTTATTGTGCCATAAAATCTGTTAAATTATTAATAGCAAAATATTTACCCTTGTAATGCTCTTATTGTACTTTTTACCATCACCTACTTTTGCCAAGTCTAATGCCTATTTCTAAACATTTGAAACCCTGTAGTAGGTATCAGTATACATGTTTTTAGTTTTTTTTTTTTTTTCAGACAGGTTGGCAAAGGTATCGCACCTTTACATCAATACACTCTCCATAGGCCCGAATGACAGCAATGCTGAACCAAACCCTTTCCCCTCCCTCTCCCTGGCCTGCTAGGGTCCCCAATTGCAACATTAGCATGATTATTGACAAATTCGACTGTCATAACCCTAAAAAAAGGAAACAGAAACCTTTCAGGCTGTGAGAATTTCAAGCCAAAAATAAAAAAAAGTCACTATTTCATTTTCTATGATCAGCTAGAGAAAGTTTCTTTTCAACAACCCATACATTATTCAGTTGAACTAACTTCGATTTGCCCATAGCTAGCTGCCCTATCATTCTGTGACAGAGTTCGAATGCCCCCTTACGGACCAATTTAGAATGTCGGACCATCCATAACACCGAATTTAAAATCACCAAAATTTGGTTATTGAAAGATTAAAAATCGTTTGAACTTATGAAATCCTCCAGCTATTTACAACCCACATTGTGGGCTCAAGTGTCGTTGTGGCCAAGGGGATTTTGCTATACTGGTTGAAAAGCCTCGTCGTCTAAGTTGACGAAGAGCCAAGCTGCTTAAATATCTAGTATGTTGCGTACAAGACAGGGAACGTTAATAAGCAAAGCTACGACTGAAACTAAAGATTATTTATACCTGTTTTGTTAGTACATATGACAATGTACCGCCATTTTCTACGATCTTTCGTCGAATTTCTTCCTTCCCTTTGTACGTTAGCGACAAGGAAGCAGCAAAATCAACCACGAACTGGCAATTTTCAAAGACGCCGGAGACTTTCAATGTACCCATGTCTAGGACAGAAGGCATACACTTTGTGTTTTCATTTTGCACTTTCTACAGGTAGCTGCGCTGTCAGCGCTAAATAAAGAGATGGCCTGGGAATGAACTTACACCAGGGAAAATGTCAGGCGAACAACAACAATAATGGCTGACTTTATCATCACAACACAGCGGTCAAACGTCCAGCATGCGCGAAGGGAGCAATTCTGGCCGACCCCCGCTAAATAATTTCAAAGAAAAACATAACATGTAACTACTGCCTCGCAAAATAGGCGAAAGAAAATTGAAAAGTTTATAAATATCTGTGAAGACTTTATTGCCTATTTGCAGTCTGTAAGTCTGATCTTCGAAACCTTTGTTTCTACGGGCGACTTGACCGGTTACCGGGGTACACGTTCCCAAATTTCTTCCACCTGCTGGTTTTCAGAGGTTTTCGAGTCCGGCTTTGGCGCAATTAGTTTCCTTCCATCGTAATAAACTTTTGTAAACATACTGGTGTTAAATAAACGGTTCGGTGGCTTGGCTAGCTAGCGCGCCCTGGCAGCAACACTTTGTGTACCCGGATGAGCAGTAGAGGCAAAATAGCTCATTTTCGTCGTTTCCGTCCAATTTGGACGGTAATTGCAGATTTTATACGCTTTATTTCAATACAAGTCGCTTCTATTTGATCTTGGACGTTTCTGACCATTTCCTCCGATTTTGTGGTTTCCGTGAGATTTCCATCCAATCGATTTCTGTCCCATTTCAGACGCTTCCGTCTGATTTCAAACAAATTCCGCCAAAGTTCAGATGGAAAAGTTCTTTCGACTACTCGCCATCACACAAATCTGCTTTTTTGAAGGAGAAGTTACTTAGAAGTCATTCCTAACGGTCAGAGAAGGTTAATTCCGCAATTGTAAAAATAAAATCAATGTTGTTTTTCCAGATTTTGTAATAGCGCAACATCATTAGGCCTCAATCATTTAAGGTTTCCCGGTAATTCGTTAAATAAGCGGCCACAATACACTCATTTACCCCAATTACCGGTTCAAATCAATATTATCCAAACTAAAAGCCGATTTGCAATTGGCTTACCTTTATCGAAGGGCAAAACAATGTTTTTCGAGCAATTAAAACCAAGAACGTCAGTCACAATGACCATGACCATTTCGTTTGATTCCTAATCATAAGCTCTAATTGTTTTGTTTGTTTTGAATAAAACGACTGTTTTTAAACTACTCATTGCCAGTCTTGCTAAGCCCCGATTCAGACGAGTCATGGCAAACAACAGCGGACGAAAAATCGAGCCTATTTTTGCATGGGCAGAATATGAGGAAAGCCATTTAGCAGATCACCCGATGCCAAATGATTTTTCATCACCGAAGGGAAGTGAATGGCTCTGTACCAACGGAAAAAACAGCAAACAAGTGGATTTTCCGCGCGACGAGTCAGAACTGATAGTAGAGCCTTTTGATATCGAAGGAGCTGCCTCTCCCCCTTGCAAAAAGTTTCTGTCATCTAAACGATTGTT